CCCCATCCTTCTGATATTTTGAATTCTCTTCAACCTCCCTCTCTCTGATTTCTTAAAAAATCTCTCTTTGACCTCCCTGTCTCTGATCTTTCAATCCCTCTCTTCCACCTCCTCCCTCTCTCTCTCAGCTCTCATGAGAGCCCTCCACCAACACTGAAGTACTTTACTTTTTTTAGTTTAGTTTTAGTAGAGGTTTTACGGCGCTCGCAACTGCATATGGTCATATGAGCGCCAGAAGATTAGAGGTGTTACAAGAGAGTAACAAACATAAAACAGAAGGAGGAGAGATCAGGAATATAGATGTTTATATTATTATAGTAGAAGGTTTTACGGCACTCGCAACTGCATAAGGTCATATGAGCGCCAAAGGGTGGGTGTCAACACAGAAGTCTTTACAGGGAATCAGACTTACTCTGCTCACCTCTCTAGCTTAAACAGCACAAGGTCTGCTTTGACTATCAGGGCACCCCGGAAATAGCAGGTCACAAGAGAGTGACAAACATACAAAAGAAGTAGAGGAAAAATGACAATAGTAAGGATTAGGAAAGAAAAAGCAGCAGTTCCCTGTTGTAGATCAGGCACAGTTATGAGCGTGACATGAGTCAGCCCATTTACAATTCTACCATGCTTAAATGAGAAGCCAAAGACTAGAGGTGTTACAAGAGAGTAACAAACATAAAACAGAAGGAGGAGAGATCAGGAATATAGATGTTTATATTATTATAGTAGAAGGTTTTACGGCACTCGCAACTGCATAAGGTCATATGAGCGCCAAAGGGTGGGTGTCAACACAGAAGTCTTTACAGGGAATCAGACTTACTCTGCTCACCTCTCTAGCTTAAACAGCACAAGGTCTGCTTTGACTATCAGGGCACCCCGGAAATAGCAGGTCACAAGAGAGTGACAAACATACAAAAGAAGTAGAGGAAAAATGACAATAGTAAGGATTAGGAAAGAAAAAGCAGCAGTTCCCTGTTGTAGATCAGGCACAGTTATGAGCGTGACATGAGTCAGCCCATTTACAATTCTACCATGCTTAAATGAGAAGCCAAAGACTAGAGGTGTTACAAGAGAGTAACAAACATAAAACAGAAGGAGGAGAGATCAGGACGATAGATGTTTGATAGGAAAGAAGGAGCAAACCACACCAAAGCACCCGCCAACCACCCGCAAACAAAGCTACAAAACCAACACACCTGAACAAGTTTCATGTTGTTAGGGAAGTCTCCACGCAGCAGTTCGTGTCGAATAGAACTGAAAAAAGACGGGAGGAGGATAATTTTATTTCTCTTAGTTTTAGTTTTGGTAGAGGTTTAACAGCGCTCACAACTGCATAAGGTCATATGAGGGTCAGAAGATTAGAGGTGGTACAAGAAAGTAACAAACATAAAAAAGAAGAATGGGAGTAAGGACGATAGATGTTTGATAGGAAAGAAGTCTTTGACAAACAACTGGCAATTGTGCAGGTCTAACAGCGCCCCTTTCAACACGCAGAGACAGTTATCGAGGGAAAACAGCTGCTATCTCTTACAGCACAGCCAAGCCCTTCAAGCTTGACAAATCTGGGTCAGCAAATAAACGTTTTGTAAACACACACACATCAATAATAAATAAACAAAAAAAAGCAAACAAAATAAATCAAACCTAACACATGTTGTTGTTTTCAAATCCCTTTAGCTGCGAGCATTTCACTCTTGGCAGCGCAGTGCCTCCCTCAGGTAAATACATGTCCTTGCCATCTGGTCAACGCCAAAGTAGAGCAGGCTTAAACCTAACACATAACTTCTCACATAAGAGTGTGCGTCTGTTATAACAGACAAACGAAAACTGAAAACTTTTGTACCGGGTTTCAGGGTTTACAGTTCTCGGACTCGCAACCGTAAGGTCGTGGGTTCGAATCCCGTCAGGGGCCCGACGTTGTGTCCTTGGGAAAGGCACTTTACACGAATTTTCCTCACTTCACCCATGTGGAAATGGGTACCCGGCTATAGACAGAGAAAGATCTTGTCAGTTTGTTAGTGTTTGAGCGCTTACTCAGCTGCTGGCACTGTATGCTTCCCGGGAAGCTGAGAATGTTTCGGAGTGTTCTATGGTCTGCTGGGGTAATAATAGAGTGTAAAGCGCATAGAGCCTGCTGTTGAGCGGGGATATGCGCTATACAAATGCTATCTATTATTATTATTAAAAGAGTCCATCATCACATGTATTGGCCAAACAGTCCAGCCAGAAACGGATGCTGACGTACGACGTCTTTATTCCTTCAGTCGGCTCTATTGCCTTTACTTTTAGTTTTAGTAGAGGTATTACGGCGCTCGCATCTGCATAAAGTCATACGAGAGCCAGAAGATTAGAGGTGTTACAAGAGAGTAACAAACATAAAAAAAGAAGAAGGGGAGATAGTTTAGTTTTTACTTTTAGTAGAGGTTTTAAGGCGCTCACAACTGCATTAGGTCATATGAGAGCCAGAAGACTAGAGGTGTTACAAGAGAGTAACAAACATAAAAAAAGAAGAAGGGGAGATAAGGACGATAGATGTTTGTTTGATAGGAAAGAACTTTCAAAGAAGGAGCAAACCACAACCTGAGCACCCGCCAACCACCCACTGCCTTCATTTTGTTACAAGAAGATAATAATAATTATAATAGAAATACTAATATGACAAAACAGCATTTATAGAGTGCATATCCATGCTCTACAGCATATTCCAAGCCCTTTCCAACTACTGTGAGTTATGCTCTTTCCAGAAAAAATACCCAAACATTTTTGCTCCAATTATTAAAAAAATATACACACCCATGCATAATAGAGAACACTTGTTTTGTTTTTGTGAGAGTTTTACAGCACTTGCAACACAAATAGGTCATGTAAGTGTAGAAAATTTGAGGCGTTACTAGAAAGTAACATACACAGGAAAGCAGGGGGAGAGCTAAGGACAATAGATATTTGACAGAAAAGAAGTATGGATACCTTGTGGGCTTTGGTGCTGGGGGGAACTGAGCACTTATGGACCTGTCCGGTGTGCAATGACGTTGTTGCCCAGGACAGGTAATACAGGTAGGAAAGAAGGAACAATCCACATAAGAGCACTCGCCAACCACCCATGATAAAACTTGACAAGACTGAACACTTACACGAGCATTGCACAGCAGACGTAAATAAGGAAGTCGAATCTGTCCTTGTCCGCAAATAGGGAGTCCCATATCCTCAGCACCTCTGAGCATTCAGGAAAGAAAAAAATAACATTTTAACGGTTTTCCACAAAAGAGAAATTTGCTGCAGCATTTAAACACAAACACATTAACACACCCACAGACATACACATCAACAAATCTTTTGATTCATTCAAATGTCAGCTAAAGTCGTTTCTGTTTTGAAATAAGATGAATATTTGGAGTAGTTTTCTTTTAGTCAGAACACAACGTTTTATATTACTGTTGTACATTGTACTGTATTGTAAAGCGCTCAGAGCCTGTCTACTTTAATCGGGGATGAGAGCTATATAAATGTCATTTATTATTATTCAACACACTCAAATACATATATATTCACAGACGCATACACAAACAAATAGTCGGAGGATGGACATACAAAATAATGTTATTCTCGCACATCTAACACTGACTGAACAGCTCATACTGATGATGATATGAAAGATGATTTGAACGATGATATGAATGAATTGTTACCCCTGTTCATTTTCAGGTTTGTAAGTTTGCCAAGTCTTCTTCTCCTTCTTCTTCTTCTTCTTCTGTCTTCTTCTCTCTTCTTCTTCTGTCTTCTTCTCCTTCTTCTGTCTTCTTCTCCTTCTTCTGTCTTCTTCTCCTTCTTCTCCTCCTGTCTTCTTCTCCTTCTTCTGTCTTCTCCTTCTTCACCTGTCTTCTTCTCCTGTCTTCTTCTCCTTCCTCTTCTGCGCTCCTTGCTGTACCTTAGCGGTAGTACACTGTTGTTGGTTCTTTGCAACTGATTTTTTCATCTACAACAACAGTTTCTCAATTTGCTTTCCTGCCGTTCATACATACAACCACACAGAAACCTAACATGAACCACACAGAAACCTAAAATGAACCACACAGAAACCTAACATGAACCACACAGAAACCTAACATGAACCACACAGAAACCTAACATGCCACAGGTTCAAATACTGGACTCGGCCAAATTGAACAAAAGCTGCGACGTGAACGTACAAGATTTTCTTCTAAAACAGGCACAAAAACCACACACAGACCTGCCAACTCAGCTCCCTCCTCCACGACCAAAAGTGAGAATTTTCCTCAAAATTCTCCCAAAAAATTGGACTTTGGGGAAAATAATTGGAGTCTCCAGAACCCCGGTAGATCCAGATTAACACAGACCGATAATAGCAAACAATCATGTATAACTGCAAATGCACATAAATAAACATGTATATGTGAGGCAGCGTGGTGGAATCAGGCTCTCGTCAATTTTTGGGCAAGTAGAGTTATTGGAATCATCTTTAAGTTTGTTCACTTGTGTTTATTTGGATGAAAAAATATCTATTTATCTTGAATACAAGTCAAGATATTTGCGAAAGAAGGAGGTGGGGGTCACCTGTTTTCAGAGGTAAAATTTGTGAGAAAATGGCCGCCAAAGATTAGTTGTTTCCTTAGCTTAAGAGTCCGTGGCAACTGAAAATTTACATTTTTTGTGCCTTTAATCTTCTAACAAATCCACACAGAAATGAGTTCTCTAATGGGCATGAAAGGTGTTGAGCCAAAAAAACAAAAAATTGATAAATATTCACAAAACCAACAGAAAAATGCAAATTTCTTCACTTTGATTATTTTGCCGAGAGCCTGATTCCACCACGCTGCCTCACATATTTTCAAATCATTTACAATAAGTCGCATACAACCGATGGAAATAGAATTCAAGAAAAAAAAACCCACAACAATAACAGGATTTTATGCAAATCCAATTGGGGTTCTTCCATAGGCAAAAATAAATTAATAATAAAAAAATTTTTTTTTAATTGGCAGGTCTGCATACAACACACACACACACACACAAAAGTGCTCTTTCAGAATAGCATCAATGGACTTGCTACTGAAAACATGAACATTCTGTATCTAACATTATAGTTCACCGTGGTTATAGAAGAACCTTCTTTTTTGTCTTGGTATCAGTTTTCGTTCAGTACCAGAACATGCCACTATTGGTTCTTTTGAAAACAGAGAATTTGGCTCCCCTGACAAAAGCTGAGAGGAAAATGAGAAACATTCACATTCTGCTTACCCTTCTGAGAGGCAGAAGCAGATTCATGGAGGATTCCTCTAATGATTGTAAATATTTTGCGTCTTCATTAATCATCATCATAGCCTTTCTCACCCTGCACCAGGGTATAGGCCACGGACAAACACCTTCCACCTTTCTCTATCCTGGGCTAGCCTCTTGATGTTATTCCATGTCTTCCCCACTTTTCTGTTTCATTAAAGCAGTTTGGATAATTTAGGCAGTGGACTACTTCAGCTCTGTCGGGCGGATGGTTGGAGGGTGTCACTGGTAGGTCCTACATCTTTTCTTTCCCTCTATTCTTTCTGTCAGTCTGTCTGACTTTTTCCCGCCACTAAATGACCTGGAACGTGTCGACGGGCTTCTCTTTCAGGGATGCCAAATTTGAGGCAGCGTGGTGGAATCAGGCTCTCGTCAATTTTTGGGCATGTAGAGTTATTGGAGTCATCTTAAAGCTTGTTCACTTGTCTTTATTTGGGTGAAAAAAATATCCATTTATCTTGAATACAAGTCGAGATATTTGCGAAAGACGGAGGTGGGGGTCACCTTTTCTCAGAGGTAAAATTAGTGAGAAAATGGCCGAAAAAGATTAGTTATTTCTTTAGCTTATGAGTCCGTGGTAACTGAAAATTTACAATTTTTGTTCCTTTAATCAACGTTTTTCAGAAAAATCCACACAGAAATGAGTTCTTTAATGGGCATGAAAGGTGTTCAGCCCCCAAAATAAATTTTGATCAAAATTCACAAACTTGCGGAAAAATGAAAGTTTCTTCACTTTGATTATTTTGACGAGAGCCTGATTCCACCACGCTGCCTCACAAATGATTTTTGAAAATAAACCTGAAAATGAGCGGAGCATCACATCTCACCTAAAACAAACCCTGTAAAGTTTTTCAATGAGCACACAAAAACATCTCTCTTACCCCCCCCCTTTCCCTTGCAAGGGTATGGCGACTTTGTTTCACCAATTCCAGTAATATTTTATCTGTCTTGAGAAGAACGACCTTATGTCAATGGCCTTATCTTCAGGGATGCCAAATGATTTTTTTTTTTTTTTACCCTGAAAAAACCTGAGATCTGGTATCCCCGCTCTTTACAGAAACAAAGCTCTGCCTGTCAGCGCCAACTGGTGCCGAATGGGACCCAACATCCCTACAGACAGACAAAAGATACTCCATAAAATAACTTCCCAACACAGGAATTGAACTTGCATCTTCTGCTTGCAACAATGTACGGTCTAACCCTCCCACCACTGCACTCACCGGGCAACTGAAATTCCTGAGAGAGCAGCAGTGTGATCCACCGGAAGGCAAAAAACTGGGGTCTCAGCTCCTGGTCTTCCAGCCGTTGCCACAACGGGCGGTCGTACTTTTGCACCATGGCCATGAGCTGGTTCATTTTGCTCCCTGTCAAGTCAGAGTAGTAGTTTTAGTTTTGAGTAGTTTGAGTAAAAGATTTACAGCACTTGAAACATAAATAATACGCCATATAAGTGCCGAAGATTAGAGGTGTTAGAAGAAAGTAAGAAACACAAAAATGAAGGAGAGAGATCAGGACGATAGATGTTTGATAGCAGTAGTTTTAGTTTGAGTAAAAGATTCATGGCACTTGAAACACAAAGAGTAGTTCATATAAGTGCCGAAGATTAAAGGTTTCACAAGAGAGTGACATGGAGAGATAAGGAGAATAAACTTTTAATAAGAAAGGAGGAACAAAGCACACCAAAGTGCTTGCCAACCACCCAACCCGTCAGACATGGTCTGACCAACTATTATTCACTCTTTTCCTACCAAGCCAAAATCTACCACCGGTCCAAGGCTTTTCCCAGACCTATTTTTACCCCCCTACCCCGCCAAAGGAAAATGTCAAAACATCCAACTAAACACACACAAACCATATCACATGGCCCATCAAACTGAAGGTTAAAAAATTATCTATCAGACGGTGATACAATATTGAAGATTTATTCCAATTATATTAGTTTGGGGTTTCGAAAAGTGATTATGCAATATCGAAGGTGTCATATGAAATCAACAATTTTCCAGCTTTGAAAGGTCATAACTAAAAAAGTACAACAACAGCATCATTCAAACTCCCCAAGTAGGTTGCCTCAAGTAATGCGAAAAAATGCTGAAAGTTATGTATGTGTACCTAATATAGAAGTGAAAATACGAGACATATACTGAAGTCAGGGGAGCGCTTTTTGTCTCATTTATACCTTATTTTCAAAGGGGACAGAAACGGCGCTGACATGACAAAAAATTGTCTCTCCGCGCTATATTTTCTGCTCACAGGAAGTCTATTCCATTATTTTGAAAACGTGGATCGGCCGAGAATTTCATTACTGGATTGGAATAGATAGAGAGCCACCCCAGTCATATTTCGCGGCTCTCGGTCCAGCGAGGCTTCGGCTCGCGGTTGGGAAAGTGTACATACTATTACACTGACAGAGCTCCCCTCACCAATGCCACAAGGAGCGTCGTCCAGGGTCTTTATGAAGAAGTCTCGGATTTCTCCCATGAGACACGTGAAGCAAAAGAAGGAGTCCGCCTCCGCAGATTCTGAAAGAAAAGAGAGAAAAAAATATAAAAACAACCCAAAATGCAAGTAGGACTACTGAAAAAGCAAACCCAAAACATGCAAGTCTGTCAAGTAAAGTTTTATAATTCCTTGAGGGAAATTCTGGCTGTCCAAAGACGTTGGGCGACAAAAACAATAGCCTTCCTATCAAGGGACAGTAAGATCTTCAAAAACTTCCTAGAAGTTAAAAAAACCCAAACACTTTCGAGACACAGAAACTCTCCAAAAGCTGAGAGAGCAACGCATTGGAGACACCAAAAGCACAATAACGCAAACATGATCAGGCGCCTTTTTGAGTTTTAGACGGACAGAATTGACATGACTGTAAGAATAGTTAAGTTATGCCTCTGTTTTAAAATGTTTCAAAACAGTGTATCTTTAGGTGTTGTTAAATGAATAGGATGCGAGTCCCCTACTCGTTAAATCACAGACTCTTTAAACGTTTGCTAGCAAAAACACAAAATATATTTTCTGTGGTTTCCCTCTCCTAGACCAGACCATCAATGATTTATTTATAGAGGCACCAGCCATCCATGTCCAGGTGCTGTTTTAGCCTCTCCTAATGGGGGCTCTCATGGCCTGGAGGTTAAGGTGTCCGCCTCTCATAAAAAGGTCCAAGGTTCAAATCCGGGTAGCGACAGAAAAATTTACGTCTCTAAAATTGTCTCCTTTCAGTTCCTTTCCAGCTCTCTGGCAATGTTCTGTCGCCTGCTTTCGTCTCCGCTTTCTGCCCCTACCCCCTCACCTCCTTTGCCCCCTCCTCTGGGCTCCAGACTCTTTCTACAGCCTTTTTACTGCTACTCATCTGCTCCTTTTTACTGCTGTCTTTCAGCCACACCACTGATCTTCTGGTAGGAAAGATCTACACCTAGCCTTCTTGGAAAGGGCGAAAAATCTCAGAGATCCTGAGTACAAATGGCACAAATTAAAGATCCCTTGGTGGTCTAAATCGAAAAGAGCAGGCTTCGGCCACCACCCGTGCAAAACTCAAAATTTCCTACCAATTGAAAAGTGTTTAATGTGTACTGTGTGCTCATATGAGCTCATGCAGTTGCGAGCACTGTAAAACCCTTGCCTAAAAAAAAACCCCTCTCCGACCTCCCTTACCTCTGTAGCCCTGATCTGGATCTGTGGCAAAGGTGTAGTATATGGGGCCTAAGATCTCATTCATTCCCTGCAAACAAATAACACAATTCATTCATTTATTGAAATGGCGTTAAATAAAAAATCACATTAGTTTGAAAGACCGGGTTGTAAGATTTATAAATAAAATGAAAGCAAAAAACCATTTCAAATAATATATGGACACCCCCCCCTTCCCTCCCCAACGGTCTATACAAGGCAATATTTGATCGCATCTCTTCGATGAAAACCTTAGGTTAGAAAACCGCTGACATTTCCACGAATGACTCGAATTGTAAATTTCTTCTTTGACAACAGCCACAATTCCTTTTTCAATAATCTTTCACAGAGATTGTACAGTTGTGTGATAGCAAAGACAGTTTTTATCTCGCTTGAAATGAAAAAGTTACCAATTTCAAACATGATTACAAATAAAAATGCTTCACAAGACTTTTCACACACACAAACACACTCTCATCTCTCTTTTCTACTTTGCACTTAGGAATATGTCGGAGTTCGGTGCGACACTGACCTGAACATAACCCAGACCGGGGTTGAGTTTTGCGTACAGGAAGAGAATCCTCTCCACCACCTCCCAGTGAGCTTCCTTCCCGTCGGGCAGAACGGCGTACTCATCACTCTGAGTGCGTTTCCTCGACACGGCCTGCAAAAGGCGCAATCAATACAATACAGTAAAATGTTACATTCCTCTCTCAGAATTGGGTCTCTTTAGCCACAGCAGAAGCCACTAGTCATCTTAATCCTTATTTCTTCTACTTCTCTTCAAGAAATATTCTCTGCAGATGCATTGGTCATCGTCTATCATCAGACTTCGATGGATAAACTATCATTTGTATGTTTTTTATTTAGTAGAGGTTTTACGGCGCTCGCAACTGCATAAGGTCATAAGAGCGCCAAGGGGTGGATGTCAACAAAGAAGTCCTTACAGGAAATCAGACTTACTCTGCTCACCTCTCTAGCTTTAACAGCACAAAGTCTGCTTCGACTTTCAAGGCACCCCGGAAACAGCGGGTCACAAGAGTGTGACAAACATACAAAAGAAGTAGAGGAAAAATTACGATAGTAAGGATTAGGAAAGAAAAAGCAGCAGTTCCCTGTTGTAGTTCAAGCACAGTTATGAGCATGACATTGTTGGATCAGCCCATTTACAATTCTACTGAGCATTAGAACGAGAAATGTCCCCCCTTTGGG